TGGTGCTAGAAAAGATGGGAGCACTCAGTGCTAAGAACACAGAAGGGTATTGGGGGAGGGGGTTGAGCCTGTAACACCTGGGCTGGGTCTTGAAGGATCATGATCAGAGGGAAGAAGGGTGTTCCTGACAGAGGCAGGGGGCCACCTATGAGCCCACAGGGTCCACTGAAAGAAATGCCAGTGGTATGGCTCAGCTGAAGCTCATGGGGGTTCTGGAATGGCCAGGAGGACATGCACTGGGCTGGTGTATCCCAGGCCACCTCTAGCTTGTCAGCCCTGAAGTCGGGGCTTTGGCCATGAAAGTATTTGGGAAGCTTTTTAAAAGAGGAAATAGCAACATACCCAGTGTTCCAGCATACCTGGCAGCAGTGTGAAAGGCAGATGGAGGGGAAGGGGCGGTGGAGGGAACTGGAACCTGATTCAGAAACTAGAAAAGGCCCTGACTCCTCTGGAGGAAGTGATGATGCAGAAGGCAGAACAGATACAGAGGAATTTTGGAGACGCCATCAACCAGACGTGGGAACCAATTCCAGGGCTGGGATAAGAAGAATAAAGGAAACGTCAACCACCTCCCCTGGGCTGCCATCATCGGTGAGGAGGACGTGCTGTACCCCCAGAGAAGATTAGGGGTAGAAGAGGGAGAAAGGACTCCGGAGGAGGTAGAGCAGTGGGTTCAAATCTCTAGCAGTATGTCCTTGAGCAATCTGACTCAGGTCTCTGAATCTCAGTTGCCTCGTTTGTAAAATGGAACAAATATCTTAGGAGGATTATTTTAGTCAGGAAATGAAATGCTTCACACACAGCACTGACACACTACCTGGCACATAGTAGGTACTTAATAAGAGGCAGATTTGGACAGTGTAGAAATTATACATGGTAGAAATTTTACTACAACAGCTGGGCGTGGTGGCTCATGCCTGTAATCCTAGCACTCTGGGAGGTTGAGGTGGGTGGATTGCTTGAACTCAGAAGTTCAAGACCAGTCTGAGCAAGAGCAAGACCCAGTCTCTATTTAAAATAGAAAAACTAGCCGGGTGTCGTGGCAGGTGCCTGTAGCCCCAGCTACTTTGGAGGCTGAGGCAAGAGGATCACTTGAGGCTCGGCGCCCATAGCACAGTGGTTATGGCACCAACCACATACACCAAGGCTGGCAGGTTCAAACCTGGCCTGGGCCAGCTAAACAACAATGACAACTGCAACAAAAAATAGCTGGGCATTGTGGCAGGTGCCTATAATCCCAGCTACTTAGGAGGCTGAATAGGAGAATCACTTAAGCCCAAGAGTTTGAGGTTGCTGTGAG